TCTTTTTATTCCCTTTCCCCCCCCCCCCCATTTAATTGATTGGCTAATGAACTTAATTTGTGTAAATATTTGCAATAACAAGCACAGCTGATATATACATACACAAGAACCCATGTCTGACTTTAGGCATAAACCTCAATGAGTAGAATGAACATACTATAAAATAGTACCTAGCTGGGGCTATATAGCTTACTGTGGTCATCAAATACACAGTTTTTCTTTAAATTTTGGTAACAGTTTTAGTATTTTTTTCTCTGAATTTTTTTTTAAAATTTACATTCATTCCCTGAGCATCATCACAACATACTAAATGTGGTTTCCCCTCTAGAGTAAACTGCATAGTGGCTTATCTTTTGACTTCGGTCTTCATTTCTTCAGTAGTTGTGAAGTCATTCAGGAGTATGTTGTTTGTTTCTATATGTTTGTGTATTTTTTTTTTCTGAAATTATATAATTTAATTCCATCTTGGTCAGAGAAGATGCTGGATTTGGTTTCTATGCCTTTGAATATGTAAAAGTTAATTTTGTGCTGTATCATGTGGTCAGTCTTTGAAAAGGTTCCATGCAGGGGTGAGAAAATTGTATATTTCATGGGTTTTGGGTGGAAGGTTTAGAAATGTCTGTCAAGTCCTTTTGATTTACGGTATCATTTAGATGCTATATCTCTTTGCTTAATTGTGTGTGTGTGTGTGCACGTGTGTGTGTGTAGATGATCTATACAAAGGAGATGATGGGGTGTTGAGATCCTCCAAACTCATTTAATTTTAAAATCTAACTTAATAGTATTAAATAGGGATTTTTCTTAAACAAAATATTTGAAATCAAAACTTAAAAACTTTAGGGAACCAGCAGTTAGCGTAATGGCTATGTCGCTGGACTCCCACGTAGTCGACCACGGTTCACGTCCTGGACCCGGTGGCTTAAAACTCACGCCGGGCGCGTGTGTGTGCGTGCCCAAGAGGAGAATGGAGGAGAAGGGATTGCGGCGTGGCCATCTCCCCTGGGGGGGTGATTTCTCGCTTTCTGTCTCTATGTCTCTCTCTGTCTGTCTGGCGAGCGCATACGCCCTATAGCAAAAACCTCTCAAAAAAAAAAAAACCTTAAAAACTTTATATGTAGGAAAATTATTTCTGCTCCAACTTTATTATTTTGCATAATTTGGAAATTTCTGTCTGGTCAATAATATAAATCAGAAAATGAAACTAGAAGTAATAAATAGCGAAAAGGGGAAAGAGAACTGCATTATGTGGGGATGATATTTTATTTCTCTGATGTAAAAAGCAATCAACTTAAAATTAAGTTGCATTTCGTGACATAGTGAATAATTTTCTAGTATTCGATATGCCAGTAATACTGGAAAGGAATGGTAGTGAGTCATGGATGGTATGAAGCAAGGACAGGGATGAGAGAAATCCACATCATGTTTCAATAAAAGGCTACTTGCAGGAGATTACCCCTGGTGAAATCTGAAGGGAAAAATGAATAAACTAGTTGAACCAAACAAGGAAGGCCCCCCACTAAAGGGAATAGGCAAATAAAACTTTATATTTCCCTGAGTCCCTTTTTATTGATCGATTTATTTATTTCCCATGTTTGTAACACTGTTTTCTTTTCTTTGATTTTTTTTTTGTGGTATTCTCTCCTGTTGGCTCTTATACATGAGACATTTTATCAAGTTTTGAACACCATTTCTATCCTAACACAATTAAGCCTTATAATCAATTATTTGAAATGAATAAATATACCCATCTATTTGTAATTAATCTGAAATAGTGTATGTTTTTTCAAATATAATTTCAAATAGCTTTTACATTTTCTTCACTTTTATGAGAATCCTACATAATTAATTATGCATGGGTAGGAACAACCTACTAATTTTTAGAATGGCTTCAGTTTAATTTCTTACCACTTAGGGGTAAAATTTCCCTATTCGTTTCCTCTCTGTGACAAAGATTTGGGACTGAATGGATAGAAAAAGACTGGTAATTCTTGTTTCTATTTTTCTGACTTAGGTTTTTGAATCTAGTGCTACTTGAACAACACAATTTCCCCCCACCTCTTTCTGACAAAGAACATCTTTTCAAATAATAGTAAACTCTGTTGTTTAAATTAAAAATGTGTGTGTGTACACATGTGTTTTAGCTAAATAAGTGCATTGCAATCCATCTCAGTTCCATAAATGAAATGATTCTGGGTGCCATTAAAACAAATTCTGTACCAGGGAAGCCCTCTACCATTCCTGTATTTGTACGGGGTCAGATGGGAAAATTTATTGACCACTCTCCCCCCAAATTTACATGCTGAAACCCTAACCCCCCAATGTGATGATACTTGGAGATAAGGCCTGAGAAGACGTGATAAAGATTAGACTAGGTCATAAGTGTGGGGTTGTAATCAAATAGGATTGGTCCCCTTATAAGAAGAGGAGACACCAGAACCCTTTCTGTCTACCATGTGAAGATGCAGCAAGAAATCAGCCACTTGCAAGTCAGGAGGAGAACTCTGGGAACCAAAGCAGCCGGAACTTTGTTTTCTCTGCCTCCAGAATTGTTAGGAAGAAATTATATGTGCATATATACATATATATATATATTTACATACATTACAGCAAATACTGTTTTTTATGCTACTCTGTTTATAAAATGCTCAACAATGAATTACGAAAACAACAACAAACAGAATCGTGGAGCATGCATCATAGCATGACACTCCAGGTTCATATCCCAAGGTCATAAGAAAGAATATGGAAGATTTACTGCTAAGTGAAGCAAGTCAGGTCATGAAAATGAGGCATCGTATGTGTCTACTCTGTATACACCAAATGTCAGCCCTCCATGGCAGAAAGGGAAAGGTTGGAAGGTATAAATGTGTGCAGAGCAACTGTGGATACTGGAAAGACTGAGGAAGGAGGATGGGAAAATGGGGAGGGTGAGAGAAAAGGAACCAAGGGGAAAAAGAAAGAAACCAAATATTTAAGAGACATAAAAATGAAAAATTATCTGTTCATGATAATGTGTCTGGTGATATCTTTGACTAGACTAACATGCAGTGTATTCATGCTGGAAAAATTTATTTTGTATGTTCTAATGATATACAGTGATTTAATGTAAAATAATAATAATAAAATATATCTTTTCAGGGGGAAAAAAGGAACAGTCCTGACTACATCTTTTAAGAGAAAACCTACCTACAAACCTTCCAAAAATGGAACCACTGAGAGACAGACCAATGATCACAGACAACAGAAGGTATAAGCGTTAATGAACAGTCACTAGAATTACAAAGATATTTGTTCTTGGACTTAGGTCACTTCTAGATAATTCAGTGTGCCTTAATTGAACTTCTTTTTTTTTTTCCTATAGGCATATGTGCTCCCCAGAGACAGACAGAGATAGGGAGAGAGCAAAAGTGAGAAATCTCTCCCCACCACTAGGTGGTTGGTCACCCTGAAATCCTTCCTCCACTATTCTCCTCTCAGGATTTTGGGCATGCACACATACATGCCTGGTATAATTTTTTGAGTCACCAGTTCTGGGACTCAGGACTCGAACTGCAAAGTTGGCTATGTGGCATCCAGCTGCCTTAACTGATATGCCACTTTTTGGCCCTTATTTGACTTTTTAAATCATCCTAGGGCATGTTAAAATTGCACACACACAGTCATGTACACATATATAATGAGTGAGTGAGAGAGGATATACACGATTGGACATTTTAGAGAATACACTATTGTAAACAATGTACTTTTTCAAACAAATATCATTAACCCCAGATTTTTTAGATAATAAACTAATGCACAAAGGTGTAACATTCACAGGATCCCACCAGTCGTGAGTTAAACTACAGGAATTTGTTCCTAGTTAGAACACCAAAGGCCATAATGCTGAATGAAACTGAGCAACATCATGGCCTTCATATCACAAAGGTCTGCAACTACGCAAGTTCCAAAGAACACGTTTAGATCAGCAGTGGAATATCCCAAATGAACCTTCTAGTAAGGCTTCCTTTAGCAGTAGTAATATGGGAAAAATGGGTTATAGGCTTTACTATTTTTTCCCTCCACCAAGAGAGGAATTATCTCACTGAATCAACCAAGTGAAATAGAAATTTGTCTCATTGTGCTATGCACGGACTTGAAAACATGCCAAGAATGGGCCATTCTAAAATCAAGCTACTTATATACCTGCCTCTTTGCGCTGTGTTCATGGGTGTTCAGCTTGTCTTCATGATCTCTGCTTCCTTACCACCCTGGTTCTCTGTGACCCCCTTCCCCTCCATAGTGCCGGGTTTGCTCCAATCCTTTCAAAGCATCACTCCTGACTTTTCTTCAGCTATACATTGTCTTATATTTTGATATTTTTCTAGAGAAAACGTAAACATCAGGGAGAATGTGGTGAAACTAACTGAGATTTGTGTTGTGTTGTCCTATCACAGGACCTTAACTATGAATCAGCTTATGAATCAGCTGCCTTTTAATGAAATAACTCCTAGTGGAGTCCATGGTGGTAGAGAAGATGATGGTGGGGAAGAAAGGTCAATAATAGGTGTGGTTTAACATACAGTTGTGTCTGTTTACTCATTCATTTTTCTGGTAACACTTACTAAGCACCTGGTATGTTTCAGACATTGTATCAAGTTCTGAGGTACAGAGGTGGTTAACAAAAGACAAAATACAGCTCTAATGGTCATGTTTAAGAAGGGAGAGAAGCAAATATCACCTCAACTCTGGAGGTAATAGACCCTGGGTGGGTGGCTGGGTGGGTGGGAGAGGAATAAAATAAATACGGGGCACAGGTCTGAAATGTGATAGGGCTGCCACACCGCCAAGGTATGTGGAGAAGTTTTCTCTGAGAAGATGGCATTTGAAAAGAGCCAGTAGGGGAGAGATGGGGAAGTCATACAATTCCTTGGGGGAATGGTGTTTCAGATGGCCTGGAATGTGGGCACTTCAAAAGTTTGAAGACTAGCCAGAGACAATGGTAAGAGTAAAAGGAATTGATTTAACTGTTTAAGAAAACATGATGATGGCTGACTACGGAATATTTAGTAGAATGGCAGAAATGAGAAGAATGAATCTCTTTAATGTAGCTGTGAACCATACAGATGAAAGGATGGATGACTATTTCAATGACAGAGAAAGCCTGAATGATCAAATCCAACATGCAAAGAGTAAACAAAATGTCCCTGAGTTTTTGAAATGAATATTTTGGGTGGATATTAATAACATCAGGGAACATTTATATTCATGAAGAGACTTCCTATGTTTTTACCAAGCTCAAAATTTACTATTTTCAGTGAGTTCCTTTTGTTAACACATTACAAAGGGTTCTGTGTGCACTGTATGACCTATCCACTTCCTATTCATTAAGAAATCAACGGGTTTTTTAGAGCAAATGTTACAAATGAATATTTAATTTAGTTGCAATTAAGAATGTGTATTTACAGAACATTTCTTATTAATTAACACAGGGCCGAGTGGCTCAATATAGAAATGTTTGACCTTCTCCTGTAACCATTCACTTGGCTCTGCGTGATTGTTAAAAGTGCCAGAACTTGATCCGACCTGGTCATGTCTACCTCTGCAGATACATCTCTTCCTAATGAGGTCCTTCTCCCCAGGTGGTATGCAGCAAGATCAGCTGTTTGCATTTCTATGCAAACACCTAGATTTCCAGCTGGTTTGAAGATTTAATACCCAGAAGCGATTTTGATAAGCCCCTAGCTAAAATGCTTCCCATTCCTCTTCAAAATAGGCAAAAATGTGTGACTTCTCTCAAAATAAGATCTTTAGTACAACTATAAGCATTGTGTGTTTAGATATGTAATTGAGCTCTCACCCGAAGAATCACAAATTAGAGAGAAAACTGTATCTTAATTTAACTAGGTTCTTTTTTTTTTATTTTTTGGTCACCTTTTTCTCCTTAGGTCTTCTTCTTCTCTCTCTCTCTCTTTTTCTTTTTTCTTTTTTTTTGAGAGTTTTTTTTGCCATAGGGCGTGTGCAATAGCCAGAAAGACAGAGAGACAGAAAGCGAGAAATCACCCCTGGGGGATGTCCACACTGCAATCCCTTCTCTATTCTCCCCTTGGGATCTTGGGCACTCATGCACACGCACCCAGCGTGAGTTTATGCCACCAGGTCTGGGAATAGAACTGTGATACACCACACGGGATTTCAGCAACATAGCCATTACTTCAACTGCTGGTTTCTGGGCTTTCTTCTCTTGAAAAGCCAAGATTGCCATCAAATCATTACAAACTATGTTGTAAAACTTTTACTAAATCAGTGAACTAATTTCTGAACCCATGTGTTCATGAAAGCCAGGGGAATAAAGCATCAGAAAATCATCTATGTTCTTCCTCCTGATAACTCTCCCCCCCTCAAAAGATTATAAACATATCCTGCTCATCTTACACTTAAACTCGAATTGAATATAATAGCTAAACCACAAGTCCCAGCCACATAGCCTAAGGGTTTCATAGTTCACGGTGGTCCTTTAAGAGAAAGAACCTGCCACTGAAGCCCCTCGCTTTGCTGATAGTTTTGTTAAAATTGCAATCATTTTGCTAAATTTAGAGTCATGAAGAAATAAGAGATAGTTCTATTTTTTTATTACTAAACAGTTTTCTAAGATTTTGAAAATGGCTTTTCGTCTATTGTACCTTAGCTAGGTGTAGGATAATTAATAGGGCCACAGTTATGTCCTTATAAATATTACGCATTCATGTTTCGAAAAGGTTGGCAGAGGATTGGGTATCTCACATGGTTAGAGCTAGTAAGTAATTAATCATCACTGATCTATGCTATAATGTCCTTAAGTGACAACAGCTGTTTTCTTAAATGTTAATTAAGGACCTTCTCGATTTATGGAACTCTGTGCTACCTCTGAGTAGCATTGAAATAGTAAGTTCGTATTGCCTGTAAGTTCCTTCCAACGAATCAGGTCTCACTTGGGGTCATTTGCATTTTTGTCAGTGCAGAGTATTCAGGGAACACCATGGCTGAAGAGATTGAGTAGAGTAGATAGTCACAAAAGCTCTCTCCCAGCCTGAGGATTATTGAAACCTTACGAGACCTTGTAATTATCGAGAAGATTGGGTGATATTATTTCTACATATAAGGAAACAAGTATTTCTGCTGGAAAATATGTTTTATGAGAGTCAGAGGGTTTTTTACATTTTTATGTATCCATATTACCTAGGGTATAAGCAGATATACAAAGGAGCCGCATGAAGGAGACCAGTTTTGGAACGTTATGTGAATGTTTTATAATATATTTATGGTAGGCAAGAAAATGAAACTTTACAGAGACATAAAGAATGCGGTCAGCCTTGTGTGTTGGAAGACTTAAACAAAAACAATGGTTAATTTTTTGTAGAATTCTAAAATTATAGTAGTAGTAAGATTGTAAAACATCAGGTGTGTCATGTCCTTTGTTCAGGGCAATCACACACACCTCTCAACACCTTTATAGTATCTCTTGCTTGTACCTTCGTGTCACAAATAGGGACATCTTAACTGAGGGACATAAACTGACTCAATGACGTATCTTTCTCCTAGTTTTTATCTTCCTGTAGAAAGTACAATGGTTGCATAGTGATACAACAAATGCTACTATTGTGGTAGGCAGGTAGCTAGTAAAGAGCGGGCAGCTCTAAGGGAATAGCAGAAGGACACATGTCACATCAATCACAGTTTATCAGGAGTTACAACCAGACCCTCCATGAGATGCCTTCTTCCCACCCAGCTCCTGGAGCCGGGAAGGCGAGGCAAATACCATTTTTCTTCCTTGGTACCTGAGGGAGACACATAGGGATGATTGTGAATTTCCCTCTTATTATTTCTCATAAATGCAAAAAGACCCAACCAGACATTTTGGTCAACATCCTGATTCCCACTGGGCCAATAAACTAATTGGACAATCTATCCTAATTAGGCATCATGGCTCACACTGGGTATGCACAGTTAGGTAATCAAATTCCTCAGATTCTTCACCTGTGACAGAGATGCACTAGCATAGGAAAAAGCCCAGGAATTCAAACAAAAGACCTAGATAATATGATAGACCTCCCACTGTTAAATATGCATGCTCACCTCTGATAATAAAAAGAACACCTAACCAGTTCCAAACACAGCAGTTGCTATCTAGCAACCTGCCCACCCAAAGGTCTTTGGGTGTACTTCTAAATTCTTTCTTTCCTATTAAATTCTCTTTCCTAC